GAGGGCCAAAGTAGAGGTCAAATGTTTTGAGATTGATGAGGGCAACAGGTGTACATAGGTGCTTGACTCAATGGATGTATGCAGGGACTGTGATAAGAAATGTACGGGCCTCAATAAAATAATTAATTAAAAAAAAAAGAAGAATGAGGGTAACAAATGTACAAATGTGCTTTATACAATTGATGTATGTATGGATTGTGATGAGTTGTATGAACCTCCAATAAAAAAAATCCTGCATTTAAAATACATATAGATGTTTTGTTCCTCCTATATGTTGAGCCTGCTAACAGTTTGTGCTCAACTGCAATCAGATGTCTAACAGTGTGATGGTTTACTCATTGGCTTGCTAACCACAAGGTCACAGTTTGAATGTACCAGGAGTTCTGCAGGCGAAATATGGGACTTTCTGCTCACCTAAAGATTTAGAACTCAGGATTGCAAAGGGACAGTTCTTCCCTACCTTAAAGGGTCCTTCCTACAGTCAGGATGAACTAGAGAACAGTGAGTTATTTGAATACTATCAAAAAATGTTTTGAAGTTCAAAGCTGCCCTTTGGGCATCATGAGAGAAGTCCCTGGTCATCTACTTCTTTTAGATTACAAACATTGAAAACTCTGTGACCAAAATTCTAATCTGAAACATGTGTGGGGTGTGTGTTGGTCACCATTAGCCAGAATCCATTAGATGTCAATGGGTTTAGTTTGGGGTTTCAGCTAGATCTTCCCAATATAATACTCATTGGATTTCCTCTGACCACATTTTCCCTTTCTGATTTTTAAAACCTGTAACTATTATTGAAAGTATCTTCAGGAATGATTTGAAAAAACTCCACAGCAAATATACTGAAATGAATCAAGTACATTTTACGTATTTTATTGTCTTCCTTGTTTTCCTCATGGTTATGTAATCCATTAAATGAACACAAAATATAAGTATGGGTTTTCTTAAGTTTCAGTCTGTAATTTTTGTTTTCTACCATTGTAAATGAACACTCATATATGTATTCAAATATGCACAGAAATACACACTTTTTTGGTGTGTGAATGACTGAAGGATTGCTGTGTTATCCTAAACTTCAATAATTAATATTATCTGATAGTTGAATAAAAATTTTAGTGGATATGCCTTCAGTGGAAGAACTAATGATATTTATCTGAAAGCATGGTTTTCTTTATTGCACTTTAAACATGGTATTTGTTGAAAGGATGAGTGAAAAATGCATGAATAATTATTATTCGGCATTTCATTTTTTGACAGTTTTATTTTCTAAATGTTCTGGATTTTTCTGCATCACATGAAAAAATTACTAACAATAGTTCTACATGAAACCATGTTTTAATATAGCTATGCAAGATAATGTCTCATTAGAATTATTTTGCTTAGCAACCTAAATGGACATAATTTGAAGATAAAATTGATTCTTGTATGCATTAATTAATTCAATATTGATATATTACTAATTTTTACTTTTAAGATGTTGGTATAATGGTAATTAAAAAAGAGAAAAGAGCACTGTTCACTTTGAGATTCTAGTCGGCTAGGAAAAAATATTAATGATAACTAGCTTTATACATAGACATAAATACAAGTATGCTACTTCAACCCATGCTTTGTAGCAGATTACACGATAGAGCAATTAGGCAGGATACTGAAGACTTTGGGGAAAAAATGATGTTCAAGTTGAAATATGAAAAACAGTTATGATAATATTAGGCAAATTGGTTGTCCTGATTTCTGATAGAAAATAACAGGTACAAAGATTATTCTGGTAGAATTTTGAATTTATCCTTGAGATTTTCTTGTCTGGGTAAGATTTTTTTTTAATAATAAAAATTATCTTGCATAAACACATGCCTACACAGATTTCTAAATGATCTTATTTGAATGGTATTGCTATTTTTACAAATGATTATATTAACTCTTGCTGTATCTCTCTATATTACCGTATATCAATTATTTCATTTCAGCTTCTTGTTCTGGACTGAATGGGGACAGATGCCCAACATTGGGAAGGCTCGCTTAGATGGCTCAGAGAAGGTTGTCCTTGTAAGCATGGGAATAGCGTGGCCGAATGGTATCTCCATTGATTATGAGGTCTGTTAATTTCTGTTTCTTAAATATTTCAAGTCTATTAACTGTTAAGTTGTATTATTTCACATTTAGTGTTCCCTTATTATTTGAAAAAAAATGTGATCTAAGTCAGCTTTTAATATTATTTTCACTTCATATTTAGGAAAATAAATTGTACTGGTGTGATGCTCGCACAGACAAGATAGAAAGAATTGACCTTGAAACTGGAAGCAATCGAGAGATGGTGCTGGCAGGGAGCAATGTGGATATGTTTTCCGTTGCAGTCTTTGGGGCTTATATCTACTGGTCTGACAGGTAATTTATTTTTCACAAATATTTGAGCCTCCAAATGTTATTTCAGTGCCCATTGCTTTACCCTTGTAGGATTCCTCAGTCAGAACACAAAAAGGATCTCCCAAAGCCACAGAAAAGGCAGGCACTCTGGCTGTTCCAGGCTTAAGCATGTCAATGTCACCAATGGAAGCTGGTTCCTTTCTTTTCTTTTTTTTAAACTTTTATTAGGGGCTCTTACATCTCTTATCACAATCCAAACATACACCCAGTGTGTCAAGCACATTTGCACATATGCCACCATCATTTTCAAAGCATTGTCTTCCCACTTCAGCCCCTGATATCAGCTCCCCATTTCTTCCCCCTCCCTCCCCTACCTGCCTTCCCTCACAAAACCCTTGATAAATTATAGATTATTTTTTCCATATTTTACATCATCCTCCGTAGCCCTTCACCCACTTTTCTGTTATTTGCACCCCCTGGGAGGTGGTTCTAGTTTGATCCTGTGATCTATTCCTCCTTTC